CCATTCTTCTCATAAGGAAGCTCACAGTGTCTTTCAGCAGAACCTTGCATCTCCTACAAAAGCCTTGCTTGATCTGAGAGTTGGTTAATGATGATTGGTTGTTGGTTACATTATATGCCGGGCAGCATATGTGTCAGTGTGCCATGTGGATCTCTAGTAATGCTTTTAGTCACTGGTTATGTGCACTACAGACATACGTTTTGTATAAGGCACCATGATATCTTGGACTATTGCCAACTGTCTCACGAACAACAGTCATTTACATGCTGCAAGCTGTTAGATTGATTTTGTTAAATGTCAGTGATATGTGAAATCTGTTCTTTTTATCCTCATAATGGTAAAAAGGGACTTAGGCCACACATTTATTTTAATATATTGATGAAATCCATATTTGGATAGGTTGTGATGCAGGGCTCCATATAATGTTTCAACATCAGGAGTACGTACTCCATATTTTTTTCACTACAGGAGTACTGGAAAACCTTAAGAGTACATTTAGAGTACTGAGTGGAATTTAATGGAGTATCAGTAATCTTGTGTTTTGTTTCATATATGCACCACAACATTGATAGTCTTGTGTAAACAGGTCAATAAAAATAAACCAATATTTTTTTCAGATAAATACGTCTGTAAATGATTCTAAGACCGTACACTATTGCTGTGGTGCGTACCTGCTACGTTTTCTAAATTATTTGCTACCGTATCGTGCATATTTTGAATCCCTACATACACCGATACGGCCCTTATCTGGAGCCCTGGCGATGCTAATACAGGATTTCCAGACATAGCAGATACTGACTGACCACAGGCTCTAAACGATACTGAGTCGGTAACCAGGCAACCCAGACTGCAGTAAGGGTGTGGCAGCTGTCTGTGATGTGTGATACGTGAGATTACAACTTGTGTCCAGTCTCAAGTCTTAGATACTCCTAATGTCATTAATAAATCAGGTGACTGTTCCTGCTGATGAGAAGAAGTTGTTCTGAAACATGGAAGGCTGATGGCCATGCCATGTTGGCCACGTGGGTAGGGGGAAATATTGCCATTATTTTCACTACTTTGTATTGTATTGAAATAGTAGCTGGCACTATTGCAAAGGTACACTGTTCAGAGTCAACAATTGGAGCTTCATAATTGTATTCTTCAGTATAATAGAAATGAAAAAAATATTGCTGACAATATCAAAGACAGACACTTCTCAGCCTGTTGGTAGTGTTGGTAGTCAAACCTTAACAGGGTAATGACGTGAGCACTGTACAAATGAGGGGTGCTGGAAGGCAGTAGGTGTGCAGAGAAGGTGGTGAAACTGCAAAAGCCTGTCTTGGTAATGCCAGACTTGACAGGAATGATCCAGATCATCAGTCTGATAGGCTTTGATTAGAGGGTGGTGGAGAAAATCTAGGTGTCGGTCTGTCTGCAGTTTTGTTAGTGGATTGATCTCCTGGTCTGGGCCATTACACTAATTGATGGACATATGAACGGTCTCACTAGACACATCACGGGTTCCTCTTCAGGCAGTGTTTGGTCAGACCTCACATTTCCTGCAGGCAAGTGGATGGGAGATGGTACAATTGGCTTGTATAGAATTAGTTTCAGTAACGGAAGTTCTTTTATTTAGTGTACATGGTAGAAATATTCTATTCTGTTCTTGCAAGGTAACAAAGCTTAAGGCACTGTTTATTTGTTTGTTATTGTTTAAATAGATTTGAAAAATGGATCAGAGACTTGATTGGAAATTATATTTCTTATGGTGTTAAGTAGTGAGTGAGTGAGTTTAATTTTACGCCGCACTCAGCAATATTCCAGCTATATGGCGGCGGTCTGTAAATAATCGAGTCTGGACCAGACAATCCAGTGATCAACAGCATGAGCATCGATCTGCGCAATTGGGAACCGATGACATGTGTCAGCCAAGTCAGCGAGCCTGACCACCCCATCCCGTTAGTCGCCTTTTACGACAAGCATAGTCGCCTTTTATGACAAGAATGGGTTGCTGAAGACCTATTCTACCCCGGATCTTCACGGGTCTGTTAAGTATGTTTATTGGTATGGTATATAGGGATGTATTAACAATGGATGTGATATATTCACATGAGGTACCATAGATTACAGAGGAAACAGTTTAGTTGAAACCAGCCGACCCATGAGATAAAACTGTTTACGGACTGTGACATTGTATTTGAAATGGTAGTAGAGTAGTGAAGACACTGAAGTGTTGGCTTGTTTCATCAAGGATCTCTTTTGATTCCCTTGTGATAACATTCTTGGGTCAATGTGGGGCTGTCTCCAGTTGTTCTCTGCCATCATGTTAGGAGGATTTTAGAAAGAGTAAACTGTGGTAATGGCCAATGTAGCATGTTCTCAAAATGAATAAAGTACATTTTATTATTTTATTTGTATATTGGTGAAGTATGGAAAATGTCATTTTTCAGACAGTTCATTGATGATATGTTAAATGGAAGAACCACAATTTTCTACTGGCCAGTTACCCTAACTTCGAAGTCACATCTCCAGCACAGTGTCAAACTGATTTTAGCACAATCATTGAGAAATGTCCATCAGCACTACCAAAGCTAAAATCCTGAATTACACCTCACCACTACTGACTGTGGAGGTGGTAATCTGATTGCTGGCCCCAACATTGAGCTGGGTCTCCTCTCTGTACTGCTAACACAATACAGATGTTATGATAGTGCACTGAAAGATGCACACCTCTGTCAACTGTATGACATTTCCTGTCCCAGACTCTCTGATAACACGGACCACTCTAACCATGCAGCATCTTCCTGTGAAACACTGAATGGCTGATAGCGTGGTACAAGGATTGGCAAGTAGTATTGATCCAGCAATGCCAGATGGATAGTTCCTGGAGTCCGTCGGCGTTGCTGCGGGGGAAGGCGAATGTGCGTCATACACTGTGCAGTCTGACATCGCAATATGCCACCCTCACAGGATGCGTCATCTTCAAACTCACGTCCTTCTCCAATTGCCGAACAAGCAGAAATTCAATTGGAACCATTATAATAAAGCCTGGGGAAGCTATTTAACCTGTTTAGTGACAGTCAGCGTGATGAGGAGATAGTGAACCGGCATTGTGACCTGTCTTGCATTCCAAATAGCATTGATTGCATGCAATGGGTAGGCAAATTGAGACGTTCGTCACTGATAGGAAGCAGTCGTCTCGCTAATGTCGTACAAACCAACTCAAGTGCTGGCGCTCGCCAAACCAATTGAAACATTTTTGTCAAAGAAGTAGTCTTTGGAGGAAATATTTGACATGGTGGTATATGGTTTGAGCAGAAGGGCTTGCTGATTCGTCTGTTTCGAGTTCCTTGTATTAGTGTTGATACTCTCCCATGTTCGGATCAGTTTGAAGTTAATGGACCCTTGACATGTGTTCCTATCTGCTTGGTATATGTTTGATCATAGGATTACTTGTATGACTCAGAGGCCGTTGACTCTGTGGGAAATACCAGACAGGCAGCCAGTAGAAAACTGCCATCTTCCTGTAACTGATTGTATGTAACAAAACCTCAAGATTTCAAAATCACGAAAAACGAACGTGCAAGCCTAATGAGTTGTTGACCTGATGTCATTTGTCACAGGCCCACTATGGTCAAATGTGTCCACAGATCTGTCCAGTAATTCTTCCAGCTTAACTTGTTTTGTAACAAGCAGTAATTCATCATAGTTATCAGAGTTCAAAATAAAGATTAAACCCATTGAGCTCTTGTCATTTCGCTCATGTAATTGAAGGATTACTGGTTTATATGGAATTAAAGACTTTCTCAATATCTAATATTGGTTGTCACCTTAAATATTCTGCCATTAAGAAGACAAGTTTGAATCATATAAGTTGGTGCTGTCAATCAGTGGTACCAGCTAGATGAGAATGGATGAGACTTTAAGCCCTATATGTGAGGTTTTAGGGTATCTTATCAGTGGATCAGTGTTGACCTCCCAGTATCAACTTCTTTGTAATTTCAATGTGATGTTTTGGTACAGAAACATTACATTGAAGCAATACTGGTGATAACAATCCATCTGTAAACGTGGTCTTCAACAGAGTAATAGTATCCTGTGCCAGGGAATAACTGAGACTGGCCTTTGGATAATCATGATAAGCATGTTGGAAGATGATTTTGTTAAGCATATGTACTGAAGAGGTGTGATATGCTCTCCTCTCAACATGTTTTCATTACTAGACCGAACTTCCAGATAAAATTATAAACCTATATTTTTGTTGCATTATCTAAAGTCTACTCATGGGTGTAATGTGTATCAGAATATGTTTGATTTTATCCAGGAAAAAACATTGTTTTACTGAAAACTATATAGCCTTTCAATTACAAATTTCCACATGCCCAGTTTGTTTTGCTCTATTAAACTGAGAAAGTATCCAACTATTGATGATGAAAGGTGGTACTTCTACACTGCTGGGGGATGGTGTTGTAGCCCAGTGGTTAATGTGTTAGCTCATCATGTCAATGCTGCTGGTTCAAATCTCTGTGGGAACATTACTGTGTAGGGCTCAATTTAGTGCTTTGTTACTTGCACTGGTGCAGCCTAGATATTAGTCTAACTTCCACCAGGTGCAAGTAAATTTTTGAGTGGGTAAACTTCTGAATAAAACATCTAAATAATTCAACAGCATATTTCTTTCATTACATATTGCAATAAAAGCAGTGCTACTGGAATTTGGCTGGTTCAACTAGGTTTTTATCTTAGGTTGCACCTGGTGCAAGTAGGTTAACATCTCTTAAATCGAGCCATGCCTTACTAACCAACTCTACATCAAACGACTGATATTAGGATAAAACCTCAGCTGACTGCAGGCAGTGTTTGTATCAGACCCAGTCATTGCATGGCTGAATCTATCCGTGATAATGGTTTGCCTACTCCAAACTGTAGGCTAAAACCACCATGTTATCAGAATGCTGTTTCTTTTCATTTTCTTCTTTTTGTCAAGTTTTTCATGTTTTGTCTTCTTTTTGTTGCAGGAGCCCAGCATGATAACTTCCTCAATGCGATGAAAGAATCACCAGCAAGATATCCTTTCCCAATATGGCCACTGACCATTAGTAATAAGCTGTGGAACACTGTACAAGCCAGATGCATACATTGTACAGGGCAGCATTAGGACATGGTGCAAGCCAACAGTTACTGTAGATAGATTCATCTGTGTACATTGTCATAGGGTCTGTTTATTCTTTGCCATGAATTTCCCATTATAGATTCATTGATAAAACCTTTCATCAGAGACATTTTGCTACATGAAGGGGTTATAGGAAAATGATTATGAAGAATGAAGAGATGATTCACATCCTTAAACAAGTAATCATAACCAGGATGAATAATGTCAATGTCAATATGATAATACAGGCGTTGAACAATATTTCCATGACCACACTTGTTGATGATAACATTAATATGGTCAGAAGAAAAGTAAGCTGATCAGAATGTCTAAATAAGATCCTTTACCATTAAATTTTATAGAATATGAAAATACCCAATTTGTTCAAATACATGTAAGTTTATTCATCACTGCACAGGAAAGACGATTTATTGCAAATTGATGCTCGACTTGTCCCTGAAAAATGTGTTAATTGGTTTTGGGGTCATTCTGTTGCAATAACTTCAGAGATGTAAGCTTAAACATGTTGAAAAGACAGCTTTAAATATGGATATATTTTTAAAAAATCGAATTGTATGCAAATTCAATTAAGGAGCTGATTTTTCACCCTCTGAATAACTAGTGCGACAAGCATTTAATTTGTTTGTGTATTTTTGAAGGACAGTGGGTAATTAAATAGCATAAAATCAATAATGGTAAAAGTTATGTATTTCTCCTCCATCACTGGCTTGGCTGGATTCCAGGAAGAATCTACTTGAATAGCGGAGGAGAATAGAATGTTCGATGTGCTGTATCAGCACTGGAATGAGTTGAGACATGTTACATTAATGAAGGTAGTATCCCTGTGAAGGACAAAATATTTCTTTACATTCCAAATTTGGATTCTATATTGAAAATATCCATGATTGAGTTTGTAGTGATGAATTCACCTCTTGAAATGAATGTTTGTTCTGAAAAATGTATATGATGAAATCAGGGCACAGGCCGCAAGACTTTCACTCAAGATATCATTGAAATATGAATATTTTCCATTAAGTAACAAAATGCATAGGGATATTAATAAATATTCAGGTCCATTGCTTCAGTGGACCTTAGTGTTGGGTACCTTGTGGTTAAGTTGGTCGCCCATTATGCCAGAGTCTCGGGTTTGATTCCTCACATGGAATTCATGGTATTTCCTTTTGTGATATTGCTGGACTAGATCATCAGTAGGGGTAGCCCAGTGGTCAAGCTGTTTACTTGTCATGGGACTAGGTTTGATTTCCATATGGCTACAGTATATGAAGCCCGTTTCTTGTGTTCCCTACTGTGATATTCTTGGAATGTTGCTGAAAGTGCTGTAACACTATATTCACGTACATACCCTCTTCCCTCCATCCCAGGGCCGGGTGAATTTGTATGTTACTGCCCGTTAGACTTATCAACAGATTTAGTTTCATTTAAAATTGAACTAAATTTGTTTTGTGGAAAAATGTCTGTCAGTTTTCTATGCATGCAGGACACATACTACTGCGAATACAGTCGTTTTAAACCTAGCATAATGCAGGTATTGATTATTGTGTGTTGCGTTTTTTCTTGTATGATATAATTCACGTATTGCACTTACCAGGTAGGTATAGTCCCAGAGGGGTCGTGGGGTAGCCTACTGGTTAAAGCGTTCGCTCGTCACGCCGAAGACCTGGGTTCGATTCCCCACATGGGTCCTATGTGTGAAGCCCATTTCCCACCGTGATATTGCTGGAATATTGCTAAAAGCGGCATAAAACTCACTCACTCACTATAGTAACAAAGGTCAGGGTGAATATATGCATATTGACCCTGTCTGCTGTTCTGGATTTCAATGTTGCAATAATTGCTGTGTAGTATTATGTGGCCCTGTCTGATGTGCAATCATTGGTTACCATCAAAAGGAACAACCAGTAATCACAGATCACTTGTATAATGAAAGGCTTAAATGTGTTAGATATTTTCAAGTCTTATTACATGGAAGATATTTCAATATTACTTTCATTTTCTTTTCAAGCTGATTAAATCAGACATTTTAATCCAATATGATACATCTGAGTGTTTGAAATGAGGCATAAAAAGCAACAGGTCCTTGTCATGGCACTATTGATTATATGGTTAAAATGTCCCTTGATTCAAATACAGTAGAAACAAACTTAAAGCTCCAAAGGGCGACCTTTGATTTGCAACACTGTTGCTCTGCGTGAAGATCTGACAAACCCTCCATTTGAGGTCTGATCACATGAACATCTGTTCAGCCAATCAGCATCAAGGCTTCTGGTGTATATTTGTTCATTTTTGTTATTAACATATTCATCATATAATATTTTATTTGTGGTATGAAAACAACCTTACATGGCCTGTTCCAAATGGATAAAAGTAAAGGCTGCTATATTTATTACTTATTGAAATGGAATGGTCAAGAACAGATATTACCTAGCTCTAAAACACATGCATGACTGGGCAGTCAAAGACCGCTCAGGATTCACTGAATGCAATTGAGGGTTTGTCAGATCTTCACAGACGTATGCATCATGAAGATCGTTTCAGTATAATGGTTGTATTCTTACAAAATTGATTTCTACTGTAAAACAATGTTTCCTTGACCACTGTGCACCATTGTGGAGGCTATTATATGTTTCTTCTCGGTGTGGTCAATAATTGGTCTTGCTGGATTTCACACGTACCTGACCACTTCAGAGCAAACCACAAACGAGGATGTAAGTGTACCCTAAGTGTCGTCACGCTTGATTCATCCTCGTCCTGCATCTGTGTTCCTGTGCACTTGGAGACTCTCATTTCAATGTATTCATTTGATGGCTTAAGTTTCATTTCTGTCAGGCATGCAGTTGTTTCTAATTGGTGTCCTCGTTTTACGAAGTAGAATTGTGGTGTTTCAGGAACCCATTTTGTAGGTTTAAAATAACTACAAAATGAAAAGAATGCAGATGTAAATTGTAAACGAGCTTAACAAATATCAAATATCAAATAGTTGGCATAGTTCCTTGTAAATAAGAGTGTATTTGCATTAGTGATTATTAGAGAATTGAGGCTGGTGATTGTATAGTAAGACCAAGAACTTGTATCCAATTTAAATGAAGTTGGATATTTCTTCCTTTTCAAATTTTGTCCCTTGTTTCAGATTTGGGTATTTCACTGAAATTATATGAATTACAGAAAGAATTAACCTAAAACTGCTAAAAAATGTATAAAACAACATTTAGAAAGCACACAATTTTAGTTCTACATTACTTTTACATGTATATATCTGATACGTACATGCTGATTACACATCAGCTCAGTATTTTGATGGAATTCAGTTGAGATTGTTAGTATTTATGTACCTGATGGTTAAAGATACAAACATATTTTTATAGACATCTCAATACTTAAAGAAGACCTGTAGAAGAAACTTTGTGTTTATAATCAAATAACATTTGAGCCAAAATAGCTCTGCTGGAAATAGAGACACAAAGGGAGATAACCCAGCTACATAGTGTTCCAGATTGTAACACGAAACTGCAGACAGTCTCAGTTTTCACTGTCAGTTTGCAGAGGAAGGCTCAACTTAAGCAACATTTGATCAAGACGAATTTGTCATAATCTATTTTCTGTGGAAGAAATTTGAAACGTACATTTCTTTTTTTGTTTTTTACATCTGTTGCTGTGATTCTTGATTAACATGATTAGAGTAGGTTTTGTCTTTTCAAAAGTATTTTAAACGAAATTAGTCTGTTTACAAAGACTGTGAACTGTACATGACTTCCAGTGCTTCTTTTACTTCTGAAAATACATTTTCTTGTCATCATGTATTCCTAAATTGATTTCAGAAATTTGATACATTATGCAGCTGGTATTGTCAGTTGTTGTTAAATTTACTTTAAGGGAAACGTTTATTTTTAACATATGTATATTTTGCTATTGTACATCCTAATCACTGTGCTGACTTTTTTGTCTCATAGATATTCAGGGGTTTATCTAGACCTGCTCACAAGCCAATACTCAACTCCAAGTCTGAAGCACATGGCAGAAAAAAATTCCAAATTTGAATGTATACATTTACCAATTTCTTAGAATTTACAAAAAAAGAACATCAGACAGTTTCCCAATATTTTTCCCAATTTGCCAGTCAAAGGCACTTAGTTTGAAATCATAGATAAATCCCTGTACATGTGGGTGTGTAACTGGTGATATTCTCAAAACAGCTCATGTGGGTGGTGCTGCAATCAAACAATCCTTTGTGTATTATACAATGTGATATAAATAATATAATGTGATATTAATAATACAATGTGATATTTTCCTCGTAGCAACACATGGGTGGGTGGGTAAATTCACTGTCAAAACTCAATTGACATTTTGTTTTGCTCAGAAAATTTAAGATATTTGCAGTAGTAATACTGTAGGGGTCAAAATTACCTTACATCCACTTGTCCCAGACAAGTATAATTGAGGAAGTACAAGAAACATTTCCTTGTGTACTACCACTTGGCATAATGCCAACTCTAGCTATTGATTGGTGCAATTTCAAAATGAATTTCTAACCCTGGTGACTAAAATGTGTACTGCAGTCAACAATAGATATAAACTGAGTCTCACACTATTGTTACAACTTGATTAAGTGAACAAACAGTTAAACAGAAGTGAAGTCACTTTGTTGTGGGACTTTTGAATCAAGGAATCCATCAATACATTATCCTAGTTTGTAGCTGAGTGTGTTTTGTTTTGTCTGATTTGCTGGTTATTTTCCTTAACACTATTCACTGTGATAGAGGCAGTGATCTGCTTCTTCTCTGTGTTCTCTGTTGTGGGCTTGGCGGGCTTTCACTCTTACCTTGTCTCTACCGAGCTTACCACAAATGAAGATGTAAGTAGCACAGCCCCAGATTGGGGCTGTACAGTCACTATCTGGTGTGTGGTCTTGAGGACATTTGGTGTGTAGATGTATGTATTGATTTATATATTGTACCTGCATGTCAGTGTTGCAATTAATTATTGGTTTCATTCGTAATTTCCCAAAGCAATCCAATGCAGTCTGAGTGTGCTTTAATTTAACTCTGGTTATTTCAGGCTTAAGGGGATACAATGCACGATACACTGTGACTGTATGATGTTCATGCATCATTAAGCTTACATGCAAGACTGCAGCGAGCTCGGGTTAATCTTGTTAAGCTCACAATGCTCAAGGCACTGCTGATGTATGAGGTGGCTATGCCATTTAGGCTTACACAAGTTTGTACTGCAGTTATGTAACATTAATATATCATTTTAGGCTTAAACAAGTTTGTACTGCAGTTATGTAACATTAATATATCATAAGTTTGTACTGCACACACAAGTTTGTACTGCAGTTATGTAACATTAATATATCAGTTTAGGCTTACACAAGTTTGTACTGCAGTTATGTAACATTAATATATCATTTTAGGCTTACACAAGTTTGTACTGCAGTTATGTAACATTAATATATCAGTTTAGGCTTACACAAGTTTGTACTGCAGTTATGTAACATTAATATATCATTTTAGGCTTACACAAGTTTGTACTGCAGTTATGTAACATTAATATATCAGTTTAGGCTTACACAAGTTTGTACTGCAGTTATGTAACATTAATATATCAGTTTAGGCTTACACAAGTTTGTACTGCAGTTATGTAACATTAATATATCATTTTAGGCTTACACAAGTTTGTACTGCAGTTATGTAACATTAATATATCAGTTTAGGCTTACACAAGTTTGTACTGCAGTTATATAACATTAATATATCAGTTTAGGCTTACACAAGTTTGTACTGCAGTTATATAACATTAATATATCATTTTAGGCTTACACAAGTTTGTACTGCAGTTATGTAACATTAATATATCATTTTAGGCTTACAATTCTTAAGACTGCAGTTTTATTAGGTTTATGTGTTATTTTAAGCTTACAGTTCACAAGACTGCAGTTATGATGTTTTTATGTCAGTTTAGATTACAAGACTGCATTCATAACATGTTAGTGTATCAGTTTAGTCTGACAGTTCTCAAGACTGCTGCACTGTAAGTCAGTGCTTTATTGTCATATTAAAAGACTTACAATGGACAAGGATCTACAGCTGGTCTGTGGTATCAACAAGGTATCTTTTTCCAGCCAATTCCTTGACTGCAGCCCTAAGTTATTGTTACACTCTGTTTCAGATTAAGGGTTCATTTACAGCCAAGAGGGGCCAAGAAAACTTCAATCCCTACAGCAAGGGCTCAATATTTAGGAATTGCATGACAGTTCTTTGTGGACCAACCCCTCCTAGGTAAGACAAGGGGTGTACATGTATTACTTCATGCAGAGATTTCGGCACTCTACGGATAAAGCATGTTACAGCGAAACTTGATTTCAGGAATGTTTTTTCAATATATGCTTCAGTTTATCACAAGAAAAGATTGAATATTGTTTCACAACTGAATTATTTACATATGCCCCATGGTTACCTGGGGTAGAATTCATCCTGTACACCTCAGTGCTGATTGTGAAGGGCAACTGTATTGGGGAATCCCAGTTAGAACTGGTTCCTGGCAGCTGATGCAGGTTGTAAGTGGCAACTAACTGAATGCTCAGTGACATGGTTTAATGTGCGTCATCATTCCACACTGGTGTAGATCGCTGCTCATAATATCAAATACTCTGTGTGTTAGAAGTTTGTGAGTTACAATAAAATCAAGATGACAACTTTTTTATTATCGTACTTGCTTGACAACGGCAAGAGAGAATCTATACCGAAACACCACAAAAAGAAGTTGTCATCCGTAAAGTATCTTGCCTTTATTGATATCAAATACTGTTTGATTCCCGGCTCCAGGTTCAATTATTACTGGCGACAAACTTATCATTATTGACGGGTGTTGTATTATAATCTAACAACCAAACACACTTGCATTTTTAATAAGCACCACTGATATTTCTTGTTTTTGAATTTGCGATTGTGGAATTGAGGAATTAGAATTTCTGTATTTCCTGTATATGTTAATATGTTTGTATATGGACAATGTGTTTCTAGTTTGCTAGATCGCCGTGGCTATGTGGTCCCAGACAGCTCACAGGTGCATACAGCCGATGGAGAACTGCCTGTGAAGGAGAGTAACGCCGTCAATGTACGGCATGAGTACTACGGTTCAACCAATATCACACAACAGAAGGTAACAGTCCTGTCGTAGTGTGTCCTCTCTTGTCTTTCTCTTGAAGAAATTAGTGCTGTTAGTGTGTGACATGAGTACTACGGTTCAACCAATATCACACAACAGAAGGTAACAGTCCTGTCGTAGTGTGTCCTCTCTTGTCTTTCTCTTGAAGAAATTAGTGCTGTTAGTGTGTGACATGAGTACTACGGTTCAACCAATATCACACAACAGAAGGTAACAGTCCTGTCGTAGTGTGTCCTCTCTTGTCTTTCTCTTGAAGAAATTAGTGCTGTTAGTGTGTGACATGAGTACTACGGTTCAACCAATATCACACAACAGAAGGTAACAGTCCTGTCGTAGTGTGTCCCCTCTTGTCTTTCTCTTGAAGAAATTAGTGCTGTTAGTGTGTGACATGAGTACTACAGTTCAATCAGTATCAGACAATGAAAGGTAACAGTCCTGCCATACCCCTCTTGTCTTTCTCTTGAAGAAATTAGTGCTGTTAGTGTGTGACATGAGTACTACGGTTCAACCAATATCACACAACAGAAGGTAACAGTCCTGTCTTAGTGTGTCCCCTCTTGTCTTTCTCTTGAAGAAATTAGTGCTGTTAGTGTGTGACGTGAGTACTAAGGTTCAACCAATATCACACAACAGAAGGTAACAGTCCTGTCGTGGTGTGTCCTTTCTTGTCTTTCTCTTGAAGAAATTAGTGAGGTTAGTGTGCGACATGAGTACTACGGTTCCACGAATATCACACAACAGAAGGTAACAGTCCTGTCGTAGTGTGTCCCCTCTTGTCTTTCTCTTGAAGAAATTAGTGCTGTTAGTCTGTGACATGAGTACTACGGTTCAACCAATATCACACAACAGAAGGTAACAGTCCTGTCGTAGTGTGTCCCCTCTTGTCTTTCTCTTGAAGAAATTAGTGCTGTTAGTGTGTGACATGAGTACTACAGTTCAACCAATATCACACAACAGAAGGTAACAGTCCTGTCGTAGTGTGTCCTCTCTTGGTCTTTCTCTTGAAGAAATTAGTGCTGTTAGTGTGTGACATGAGTACTACAGTTCAATCAGTATCAGACAATGAAAGGTAACAGTCCTGCCATACCCCTCTTGTCTTTCTCTTGAAGAAATTAGTGCTGTTAGTGTGTGACATGAGTACTCACGGTTCAACCAATATCACACAACAGAAGGTAACAGTCCTGTCGTAAGTAGTGTGTCCTCTCTTGGTCTTTCTCTTGAAGAAATTAGTGCTGTTAGTGTGTGACATGAGTACTACAGTTCAATCAGTATCAGACAATGAAAGGTAACAGTCCTGCCATACCCCTCTTGTCTTTCTCTTGAAGAAATTAGTGCTGTTAGTCTGTGACATGAGTACTACGGTTCAACCAATATCACACAACAGAAGGTAACAGTCCTGTCGTAGTGTGTCCCCTCTTGTCTTTCTCTTGAAGAAATTAGTGCTGTTAGTGTGTGACATGAGTACTACAGTTCAATCAGTATCAGACAATGAAAGGTAACAGTCCTGCCATACCCCTCTTGTCTTTCTCTTGAAGAAATTAGTGCTGTTAGTGTGTGACATGAGTACTACGGTTCAACCAATATCACACAACAGAAGGTAACAGTCCTGTCGTAGTGTGTCCTCTCTTGTCTTTCTCTTGAAGAAATTAGTGCTGTTAGTGTGTGACATGAGTACTACGGTTCAACCAATATCACACAACAGAAGGTAACAGTCCTGTCGTAGTGTGTCCTCTCTTGTCTTTCTCTTGAAGAAATTAGTGCTGTTAGTGTGTGACATGAGTACTACGGTTCAACCAATATCACACAACAGAAGGTAACAGTCCTGTCTTAGTGTGTCCCCTCTTGTCTTTCTCTTGAAGAAATTAGTGCTGTTAGTGTGCAACATGAGTACTACAGTTCAATCAGTATCAGACAATAAAAGGTAACAGTCCTGTCGTATTCTTTTGAAGATCAGGGTTAGAATTGATCTTCAGTAATCCATGCTTGTTGTAAGAAGTGACTAACAGGATCTGGTGGTCAAGCTTGCTGACTTGATTGACACATGTCATTGTATCCGAATTGCATACATCGATGCTCATGCTATTGATCACTGGATTGTATGGCCCAGACTCAACTAAACTCACTCATTCTCTTGAAGAAATTTTAGCTGTTAGTGTGCGACATATATCAGTATCAGACAACAGAAGGTAATGTAAGTAGTGTGCTCCCTCTTGAAGAAAGTAGTGTTTACTATGTGGAGATTTGGGTTAAGTATGGGTCCCCCTTACTCCAGTTTCGTAACACCCTTAGACTCTTTTAAGACTAGTTCAGAGGACACATGGGACCTGATTTCACCAGCCCTCAGAGTTGTATTCAGTGAGAACTTGTCCAGATGGCCCTAGTCAATAAGGACTACCATCTTTGGATTTCTCCTTGTCCTCAGTATAGTTTAATGACATTGGTGTAGCAGACTGGCCTAAAAGGCTGTTACAATGTATCACTTGGCTGGTTCCATGTCGCGGCACCCAAGGGCAAGGACCTCCCATAGAGAGTTTGCCTCCACACAGATAGGTTTCCTATCAGAGTAAAAGATGAGATATTAATGAAATTGTTGTGTAATGACATTGATTTTTTCATTTGTTGAGCTTGTTCAGCTGTGATAGTGTGGACTGTTGTACCTTCCAGACAAACAGCACCGGCACCAACACAGCAGGGGAGCCGGTAGTCGTCGCAGACAACATGGGAAGCACTGCCCCCGTCACCAAGCATGACATGATCAGCTATCAGGGTCCGGATGGTACTATCAACAACAAACTTCCACCAATAAATGGTGGGTATCCTGTACATACCAGGGCCCCGTTCCACAAAACAATCGTAGCGCTAAGATTATCGTAACTCCCATACTTTAACATAGACTTACGACAATCGTAGCGCTAAGATGATCGTAACTCCCATACTTTAACATAGACTTATGACTGTCATAGCACTGTAACCGCTTTGAGGAACGGGGCCCAGTACTACATAACAGTGTGTGACATAGTCTCAATATATACCCTGCCATTTGTTATAACTCGCCTTAAAAGTTATGAGATCATTTCAAACTTCACTCACTATTTTTTCAGAGATTTGATTCTGCTCTGGTATTATGATGTAAACCCAAATAGATATCATGAGTCAACTGGCCAACTCAGATCCCACAACCTCCATTCTTTATGGATATTTAATTTTGGATGATCATATTGATCTACACAAACAGAACTAGTTTTTATCAACTATGGGATGTGCATAAAAGTTAGGCTAGGTATATTTTACAGTCTTTGCCTGTTCTAGCCATTGGTTAGTGGGCAGGTGGCTATTTCCCACACTGCCACACAATACAAGAATGTATGGTTTTAAACGTGTTGGGCAGGATAACTATATGGTGGATACAATGGTATTTGATAGTGAGGATAAGGATATAGATCTTGTGGATCTATCTGAAAGAAATTTGTCATTTTGATGCACATATACCATGAAATGATTCAATTATGAGTGTTCTGAACCTGTAATTGGTGGTTTCTATAAGTAGTAAATTGCCATTAAAGTATTGTCGCCATTAACTTCTCATATTTGGTGGTTTTATGAGTCCAGGGATAATGTGAAATTCTTGTCATTACCTGAAATGGTTCTGGTTTATTAAAAGGAATAGTCATAAATATCTGTTTGACTAAACTGGTTGAATTCATTGTTTTGTGAACATTCTAGGCAATAATCTTTGAAAAAAAGGCAAAAGGAATACATACATATTGAAGTTCAAAAAGTATTAAGTAAATTATCAGTGATTAATTGTAGATTTGATACTACTTATTCTAAACAAATAAAACACAGGAATATTTTTCAAAATTATTTGTAGAAGCAAGATTAAAATAAATGTATCATAAGAAAGAAAAAATAAAATTTAAGAAAAATCATAAAAAAGAAACAATGAATTTTATTTACTGACAAGCTAAATATTATGTTGAAATCTGTGACATCCTATCCTTTCAACTCCCTGTCCAGTGCTGATCGAGCGAGGGATACCTTGCCATATAACCATACCATTACTCCTCCGCTCTGTTTGATGGTCATATCAGCTGCTGATCAGAATTGATTGTGACAGAAAAGTGCCTTAACCATGATGGAAAATGTTATGAAATTATTATTTATTATCCTCCATCATTTTAACGCTTTATCTTTGGTACCTTCCAAGGCAGCCACTTATGTTGAGAGAACAACTTTATTCCTCAGTAATATGATTTAACGATGAAAACCCTTGTGGTGGCTTTGTCACTTGGTTCATAGGCCTCTTTGGTTAGGGTTGTCGCTGGAGGAGAAAGGCTAAATGAATTCCTTGCTGTCATTAACCTAAGAGATCCCATTTAGTTCCTAGACTTGTCTTTCCAATCTGAGGGTTGGTCTTGCGTCATAGCTGGGAACTTATTAACCACCCATAATAGCCCTGGTGCTTGAAATGTCCTCGTTAACTAGCAATATCCTCACCATTAATCATCTCCTTGTGTGCGTTCATGTTGGTACTAGCGGTTGCTCTACTGCTTGTGGTTATAAATTAATACATGGAAGCTTCATATGAACCTATATTGCAAAGTGGTTTATTTCATAAATGGTGATGGATATTATTTTTGAATGACTGCAAGTTTAATTAACGACAGGACTGTTAAGATTAGCTTAAATATTTCTAGTATTTTTTTGTCCTCTGGCATGAATCTAGACACAAGACAATTGCAAAGCAATGAAAGATGTTTGAATATCACAGAAGTATTAAGCTCTTCAGGTTGGATCAAGGAATGGTGTGGTCAGAGTTACATAGGGATGGGTATGTGAAGGGTAAATGGAATGGGCAGGGTGGATGAATGGACAAGTTAACATAATCAGAGTTAGATAATGATGAATGGACAAGCCGAGGTCAGGCATGTGAAGGGTCAGATAAGGATGGGGAGGATGGGTTAGCAGTGGTCAGGGTTGTGACAGGGGTGTGAACAAACAGATTACAATCAGGGGAAGAGTACACCAGGAATCGAGTATGGTCAGGGATGGATAGTAATGGACAGGAAAAGAAGGTTGAAATCTGTGTTTGAAATGTCACCTTGTTACTAAGGTCAGCTGTTTGTGTTCAGCAACATATACATCTGCCTGTAGTACACATTTTCTATACATATACTTGTATGTCTGATTCTTTCATGTCTTCGCTCCTCCAGGCATGGTGCCACCAACATGTGCAGGTAATTTCCCTCACTCACTCACTGTTCTCCTCCTGTTGGGCAGGGGCAGCATTTCTCACGTTTGCATGCCAGCGGGTTCTTTGTTTATTGGCGGTTTATTTCATGTGTTTGAGTTTTCTTTGTTCATCAGATATTGTGTTTTCTTTTGTTACTCTGAAGTTTGTGCCAAGGTTTTTTGCTCTTTCTGTTTCACGAAAGTTTGTTTTTGTTATTCATGTTATTTATTGCAGAATACAGATTATTTTATGAGATTTGTTTTGCTTTGAAGAAACTGTTGGGGGGGGGGTTTCATTTATTTTTTTTCTGATTATATGATTATTTCCATTGATGGCGGTTCTCCTTTGTTGTGTGTATTCTCTATTTTCTTTTGTGGTAAATTCTGTTCCTCTGCATATTATCTGTAGGTTAACCTGTCTCTCAGTGTGACCACAGATGCACTCTTTCCCTGTGCAACTGTTGTGTATTGATAACTTTATAATCATGTTCTTATCAAATTCATATTGTCATGTCAAAATGAATATGCAGGTTATTGTCATGTCTACAGTTGATACCCCAAATGAAAATAATGTAAATATCCAAACCTACCGTATTTATAGCAATACGACATGAAAACTGATGAAGTCTATCAACTCTCCTCTCTATATTACAGTACATGACACTGTATTCATTTGAAGTTTAATTAGATTAATTTAACACTGAAACAATCTTTTTTCTTTGGCTATTCATAGATGGAGAATATAATGGGGATGCTATCAATATTCGTACTGGTTATGTATAACAAAATATGTAGAAAGCGTTCTTCTATTGTGCTATTTTTCCCCCTGCGTTGCTTACTTAGGACGAAAGAACCACATTTGGGACATGACGCTAAACCAACTCAACTTCTCTGGTGAGTGATACCATGTGTGACATCATCAACCAGCATGTTGTACTTCCCATGTTCGTCTATGCCAACATTCTGTTTCATGGCTTCTTTCATTTGTTCAGAACAGATGGAACATAGCGTTGTTTTTGTTGCTTGGTCAAGTAACATAGCTTTTAGTGTATATGTACTTGCTTGGTAAAGATATTTTGTGGAAACAAAGCATTTAAGTATATTTAAGCATGATTAAATGAAGAAAAAATACACTTTTGCTGATGCTTTTGTAAAAGAGCTTATTCTGTAACTGTGCTGGATTTTGTTTTATTGGTAAATGTAGCTAATGGTATTTTTTTTTTATCATTATGCTGTTATGATTGTTTTCAACCTGTATATGATTTGATTGTGACCAAGTTTATTTCGGTATAGGGTGGGTGTATATTAGATAGGTTATAGTGGAGCGAGAGATGCTATTGGTTGGATGTACTGGGTGTTGGTTCAGATTCACATTTCAGCAATGGTGTAGTTAGTGCCAAGACAGAAGATGGCAGCAATGCTGGGTTTGTGACTGCATCACTGTATTCATGCATTAGATCAAACACAGTGCAGCCACAGTTCCCAGCTGACCATAGAGAGGAGCCCTGTGGTTAGTGTTTAGGCTGCCTCAGTGGCCTAGTAGATAGAGTGTCCGCCTGGAGAGCATGGTTGGTGATTTAAAACCATACTGTACCGGGTAAGCTGTTTAAGGATGACACTTGTCAACCTGCCTGGCCCTGGGCATTAAGTGCATAAAGCATGGTCTGGCTGGCTCCAAGTCATTACTGTGTCTGAGTGAGATATCCAACCTGTATCTCTGTGGTCTAGCACTGTTCCACCAGCATTAGTCCAGTACCTGGCTGGCTCCAAGTCATTACTGTGTCTGAGTGAGATACCCAATATGTATCTCTGTGGCTCGCACTGTTCCACCAGCATTAGTCCAGTACCTGGCTGGCTCCAAGTCATTACTGTGTCTGAGTGAGATACCCAATATGTATCTCTGTGGTCTAGCACTGTTCCACCAGCATTAGTCCAGTACCTGGCTGGCTCCAAGTCATTACTGTGTCTGAGTGAGATACCCAATATGTATCTCTGTGGGCTAGCACTGTTCCACCAGCATTAGTCCAGACTAGTACCAGCAGCCACACATTCATACATGCACTTAGCTATATAAATGCAGTAATGTGTAAAGCAATATTAAATTCTATTTCACCTCGCCTCCCAATATGTCATCAAATGAGAGAGACAGGGATATGTTGGTGTCTGACACAAAGCAGGACTTTGACTCCATAGCATGAGGCTAGTGAAATATGGTCCCCATTTCCAAGAGATGTCAAGGATAGTAGATTCTATGTTTAGCTCCCAGAATGTTGGCATGTCACTACTATCCCATGCAACAGCCAGCCATCCTGTACGTCAGTGACGTCCTAAAACATATCCTTTCCTGTGCTTTGTTCCCTTCTTTCTGCCCCTGAGTATATGTGGTTTGGCCAGGTGAGTGTGTGACTGCTTCACCTGAGTGAGATGCATTTTTCCCTCCCTCCATCCTGCCTTGAATTTCTGGAGTGAGGTGGCCAGTCCTCTCATGTACCACAATAACCCGTGCAGACCTGCCTCTGTGATGTGTGTCAGGAGCCTGAACTCACTCTGATGGTGACTGTTGGCTTGACCGCACAATACCTGTGTGCTTGTGGGCATCTAAGATCTTCCGTGTTCTGGCCCTTCCTCCAACATGAAGCTGACAAGCTGTGTCCGAAATAGAGAATGAAACGCCATCATTCATTCTAGTGCGATCCCTTCAACACCATGTTTGTACAAAACAGGACCAAAGGTAGAACACATGCATGCAAGACTGATGTATTTCAACTGACTGACATCCTTGCAAGTAGAAATATCGTCATTTATCGTGATGAATTATGGTCCTTGATAGTGTGTTCCTGTTGCAGCTTGGGGTTTAGTTTCTGGATTGTTTTCATTATGTATTACTCAGGTGTTGTGTTGAAACATATGAACCTGTGTATACAGATTATGTATTTATACACCAGCATGTGACTGCATATCATATTTTGTAATGATTAATTTGATGCACATCTGTTTGTGAAGTGATTGTTATCAATGATTGTTTGTTTTCACGATTTCTGTACACTGTGTAATTTTGGTTAAATGGATGTCACACAACAAGTACAGTTAATGTGTTCTGTCATACTGACAGAGGTGGGAGTGTCACATGTGGCTCAGTTAACTACCACTTCCACCAATGCAGCCTGTGTCCCTAAGGCTCACCAGGAACATACTACGATCCAGGGTTGAATGCCAAGATTCTCCCTGATCATATTTATAGCCTCCACCCCTGTGTTTGTGAGTTTCACACAAGTGATAAACGTCTCAGACCTGCATCACCTAGAGCTTCAAACATCAGGCGGACTTGCTGAGAGATAACTGAAATTCTGTTGAATCGGCATTAATCCTGACCGGCTCACCGACTCACAGTCACAGCATGTTGATGTGTTTCACCTTCAGTTCCCTTTGAGTGAATTTTTTCATTGGTGTCTCAGCGTGTAGTATATTCTGCTTATTTGTTATCAAATGGATTTAAGGAACGGTTAATGGTAAAATATTGCTTGTTTGAAAGCATAAGAGGTCAATTCCTGACTTGTGCCTCAGATTTTGACCTGTAAATCTTAACTCTATACTTATTCGTTGAACAAGGTATTCAGGATCTTATTTGCTTATAGTTTTCAAATGAGATCCTGGATATGGGTAGAATTGTTGTTTCATCGTTTGGAAATAATTTGACTTGAAATTAGGTGTCCTGTATGAGCAGGATAGATCCATGGGTCCCAGCTTGTCAAAAGAGCCAACTGATGTAGATTGGTGGCCCCAGTGTGTGACCTGCCGGACCCTGTGGCAAGGATTGCTGCTCATTCTGACAATACCTGTAACTAGATCTCCTAAGATCTTTGTTTAGCAGTACCAAGACTGATATCTGATATTAATAAGATTCTGGTTCCAATAATTTAAACTGGAGCCGAAAACAATTGTGTTTAAGACTAATCCTGATACCAATATGTAGACATCTTACTGGTGATGTATTGTCGAGTTTGAGAAAAATCACTCTTGGCATTAGTCATTTCGTTTCCTATCCTGAAACATGCGGGTGTTTGTGAGCATGATCAGCTTTAACAGAAGTAGCGCTGACGTAATTTTCCACATTTGCAATCATGTACAGACCACACATGCTGTCCTAACTGCCTTTTGTTCTGAATACTGCTGACAAAAGCTCCATCATTCATCCATCAAAGCTTGAGTCCTGACAGCCACTTTGTTGCCGGGGTATTTCCTTGATGATTATATGTCTGGTTATATCTTGTGGCCTGTGACCTGTACATCATCCCTATACAGTCTGCTCTCAGGTAACAGTGGCAGGTGAGCTCAGGATCCTGGCCAGTGCTGGATAGCCATTGGGTGTTATTGGGATAAATAGTGGAAAAGATGACGTTTTGCTTCAGTTTCTGGCAAAATATATTGACAGTTTGTCCTTGGAAACATTTTATCACAGTCATATCTATTTCTTGAAGCAGTCGCAGAAAATTTACTTTCTGTAGGAAAAATTCTTAGGCTGTAGAATATTAAAAAGCCTGTTCCTGAATTGTCTAACAAGAGGGGAGCGTGTTGGTTTGGTGATCCAGGAAATTGGATGATGTAACATCGGGACGAGGGCTCATATCTTTGAGACAGACTTATGTTTGATGTCCATTTATTAGTAGATGCAACAAAAAGTCAGTTTTTAATTTACTTAAGATTGCTTCTCAACTATATACTTTGATTTGTCTCTTGTATATGCAACACATTGGGAAGTTTTTATGTATGCATATGAAAAGGAACATGAAAGCGTTTTAATGTTTCAATATTTTTTCTTAAATTATACAAAAAATTTAATCATAATGCTGCATTAAATTATGAGTCTGTAAAGAAACACTTCTGTGTTAATGTGGTGTCGGTAAATAATTGTGATTATTGCTTGGCATTTCCTGTTGACATGCAACTCTTGATCAATATTCAAGCAGTATCCCGTCCACTGAATCCTGCAGAGAAGACTGTATAGATCATCTATTCATTTCGTTCCAAAATGTAATCACAACTATGAATTGTTATTTCTTAAAGCTTGGCAAGGTATGACTGACGGTGAGTTGACTTCTCTCCCCTTAGCGGCCGATCAGGGCCCCATCCCGGGGCAAGTCCCCTAGGGAGGCATGTCTTCCTAGGGGCTAGGATAACAAGTGTTGACCCCCCGGTGAGTGTCCACTTCCGGGTCACTTCAGTGCTTGTTGTCACCTGTACGTCTGTGCCGGCTTCTGTACTGCAACAACTCCCATAGACTTGCCCAGGTTCTTGTTCAAGGGAGATGATACTAGGTCAAGGGAGATAATTCTAGTTCCATGGATTCAAGGGAGATAATTTCCATTTAAAACAAAATACATGTACATGTAATAGGAAAATTTAGATGTAGGGATTGATAGGCATGCATGATAGGCTGTGTAAACAATAGCCATTCTGTTGAATAATGGTTAAGACATTTTTGGGTGTTTTCATAATGTGGCAGGTCAGTGTTTATCTCACTTAAACTTAGAGTTTATGTGGGCATATGGCATGGCACTTTGTCTGTCCTCTGTAAACATTTACAGTTTGGGCATCTTTCTATGATGTTGTGAAACTTCAAAAGAGTCTGCTTCTGTATTGTGAAAGAAATCCAACCTAATTTGATAATTTGCAGACATATTTAAGTTGTCATGATTGTCCATTACTCAGCCTTTTCAGTATGTAAGTGAAATTTGATATGCAGTATATAGGTGGGAGGTCTTAATTTGTTGTGAAAATATTTATCAAACTCTAATTGCATCCAAAGTAAAATATGATTTCCCCACAATCTACACACCCAGGGAATGGTTGATGTAAAGTTGATCAAAGTGCATCATCAAACGTGCAGGTGACCTACTGGGACTCTTTGTACATGAGCTTATTTTAGTGTCAAGTTCTGAATATATAAGCAGAAATATCAAAGTTGCCACCATTTTATGTCTAGGAGAATGTAAACTGTCACTTTACATAAGGTGCCTGGGGTATTGCTGTAAGATACCATGTTCCTTAAACTGAAATTTTAGTTAAAGACGCTTCTGCTGTTGTTAGCAAAGCAGGAGTTAGTAATTCTTTTATAATGATTACAGTGAGGAATAATTATTTGTCATTACGTCAAAGTAGAGATGTCTGGTCAATTGACTCCAGCAGTACCCATGGTATGTTTACAGGTGTGCTAATTGAGGCACAGAATGGATAAAGGGCCTGCAGCAAGTCTATATTGAAACTTTTTCTGTTCAGTGGAAGCTTTTCCTTTTCAACACTCTCACAGCAGGGGATTTGTACACAGACTGAAATTAATCAATATCTCATGTGTAAATGGTAACCAGCTGAAAGGATCTTCCTTCATATTTTACTCCTACCAGATTTTCTTTACCATTTGACAAGACTTTGCTGATATTTATTTCAAGTGAGACTTCTAACAAAATTTAAGTCTTTTTGGTGGACTTTTATTTTCTTGGCGAAACATTTAAGTGGATGCTGAGGATATTAATCTGCACTGTTGCCTAGAGCGATGAGTTTTAAGGGTTGTAAGAAAGATGTAGTCAAAGAGAAAGCTTCAATGGTTTGAAGAACTCCAAAGAGAAGTTGAACTGTTATTAAATCACAAGATGATTTTTGTGAACTACTGAAGGTTTAAATTTATCATCATAATTTTGGAAAAGTAATTTTCTCTCCTTGGATGAAGTGCAAAGTTTTACTGCAGTAGTTTGTTTTTCTGTCCGTAAACAGTACAGCAAACATTTATTGTCTTAAAAGAGTCTTCTCAGCTTGTTATCAGTTTATGTCAATTTACATCAGAGCTGAAGTAAACGTAATTTCTATTCCAGCTACATACAATGCACATCATGACTATTTAACACCTCTGTTAACAATCTGTCAGCTAATACAGCATGGTCATGTCTTATATTTGGAAATGTCTCTTTATTCATTATTATATGCACTTTTTAGTGTGTTATGTTGATTCTCATAAGTTACCATTTCTTTCTGCTTTTGTGAACTGCGTGAAGTGACAGTTACTTCCAACATGTTGTGTGTGGTTTATCTGAGTTATCTCCCTTTGACTGCCTGCATGAGGCTCCCACGAACCACATATGTGTTGTAACGAGACAATACTTTCTGTGTACATTGGCAACAATCAACAGGTAAGGTTAAGATTTCATGAGGTATTATTATGTGAACCAATTTTACGATGCATTTTGTCATATGACTTGTGTCATGATTGTATAGAGCTGATGTATAAGACATGTATTTGGATGGTTTTAATGCAGCCTTCCACAACAAGGAGAACAGGTGCCATTGATACCATATCACTGTGTCTAAGTCACTGTTACATTGTATTCCTTGTGCCAGGATCCAATAATTGTGATTAAATTCCTGGGTCATCCTGACCCTTGGGTTGTCCTCTACCCTGTTTGTGGCATACTAAAAGTGTTGACCATTCACGTTCTACATCACTTGAGTCTCTTCTCCAAGTTATTGGTCACATGAATGTACACTGCTCAGAGCAGCATTAAACCATCTCCCTCACTCTCTTAGTTCAAGACCAGCTGGCAATATGCAGTGTTCACGAGTAGCGTCTGACCCTCTGACAAATCCAGCAGATTCGCCAACGGTCCGATAGAAGTCTACAACCCGCTGATCCCAGTGTCTGACTGTATATTTCACAATGACTTTGACTGAAGTTGTTATATGTGACATGTGACACTTGTTTGCTGTTTATGCATCTTATGTTTGATAATAACTTCAATGCCAATTATAAGAAATGTTAAATCTGAAATGTTTGTTTAATTTTATTCTACAGACAGACATCTGAAACTTACAGGACCCAGTGTCCTGTTACTTTGAGACACCATTCGTGAACACTGATATGGCATGTCATTCATCCACAGATGTATTTGTTTTTGTTGTGTCAGGACATGATTAAGATGTAACCCTGGTACTAACTTTGTCATGTGTAAATGCTCTCTTCCAGGGGCCTGCCAAGAATTTAGTCTGACAATGTTTTCAGGAGAAACACTTGGTGAACAGTCTGTTGTCACTATTAAGATCTTGTGGTCTCAAACATGAATATAAATGTATGAGTAAATACCATTTAGTTACAATAATTATATATTCTGGATCAGTGTTATATTTTTTTAAAACACTTTGATATCAAAAGTCTGATCTAACCAGATTAACCTGTTCCTATTACTGTCAAATGATACACCCCATTCATTAAGTACTACTTTTCACTCACTGAATTCAATATCATGTTCATGTATGCATCAGAAACTGCTTGATTCTGATATTTCAAGTCAGATTCAGTCTGTTATTTCACTGATAATACATTGTACTTAAATTCAGATTCAAACATAATTCATGTGATCTGCCTTGTCTTGAGGCTAACCTACTATACTACCCATCAAAAGTTTAGACTCGCTTAAATCAATCACTATATGTTATGAATGTACATATGGTTACAACGAAGATGAATTTCTCCACTAACTTGGGGGAAACATCTGCAAACCTTATGCAGATTAATTGCACGAGGATCATGCATCAAATTGCTGAAAAGCATGTGCAAATATTGTGCATGTGAACAGCTGCGTTTTGGTGTAAAGTTTTGATTAAAAAATCGCCATTTTTCACCGAGTTTCATCATTTATTGAACACATGACAATTAACTTTTCAACGTCATGAATTTGTTTTACAATACATCAGCTCATGTATAAACAATACATTCAAACTGTATGGATTAGTTTTTAAAATTTAGTTCAGAACAGTTGACTGAAGTAAGTGGCTACATTTACACTAGTGAGTCTAAACTTTTGATGGGTAGTATAGTTAAAGAAAGTAACAAAAATATGATCCGGTAACTGAGAGTATTTTTTCTAAATTGAAAAAAACCCTGACAATTTGACAGCTGGGGGGGGGGGAAAAACATCTAACAAAAACGTTATTTATTACTGATAACAGAGTTTGCTTTAGATATCATTCAGAACTAAGCTGAAACTTCAGAAATCATAACAGATGAAAAATGTCTAAAATGTTCTTGTATTACGTGTAAGGTACCAATGTGTCATTATATTGTGTATCATTTCATCAATAGATAACATTCTCTTGTTAATTTTGTAAGGTTTTGTGATTTCAGGAAAATATGGGGTGGCTCCGTGAGTACAGTGAACGTGCAGCCCTCGTACACGTACACGACGGATGACATCAAGGTGGTCAGCTCCAACGCCCACGACAACAAGCACGTCATGTCCAGGGGTTGCAGCACCGACTTTTGATGTCCATGACGTATTTAATGTGTTTCATTAATATTTGTGTCTATCACAAGAGATGTATGTCACCATCTTGTCGTTTATGAGTGTCAACCATAAATTCTGACATTCATTTCATTGTTCAAAAATCTGTTTCTGGAAAATATCTGTATGTAATTATTTTTTTCTGTATATTGACAGCTGACCAGGAAAGTAATAATAGTAGTTCAAGTTTAGTCGATGTCAGTTTTGGATGATCTTTGTAGTCAGTGGCAATCTTGATAGATTATTTTAGGGTTGTGTTAATACGTGTATGTATTATTGTGTATATTATGTTTTACGATTGTATATGTCTTGTTTTGAAATCTCAGATATTTTATATCTAGTCAGGAACAGGGATGATGTGGCTGTCCTGTGTAACTGTAAACAAAATAAAATCACCAGATAAATATTTTACAACTTTATCTTGAATTTAAATTCTGTTTTAATACTTAGAACCAGAAACAGATTTTTATCATCCATAGCAAATTTCATAACATCAACATGTAATTAATATCAGGTGCATTTGGTATTATAAGTTATTCTTCGTGTATATTGAGAGTACCTAACTTGATGCATGTTTATCCATATTAATGTTACATGCTTTCTAAATGTCATGTCAGAAATCTTAAAGGCCATGCACATTTCAGTTTTCAGAATGGTTTAAATCATCACCAAAGAGTGTCGTGTTTCCATATCTATATATCAATGTTTTATGTAAATAATGTGTAAATCTGGAACAATCTGTCAACGTCTTGTCTTGGGTGGAGAATTACAAAGCATTGATTTTATTTTGAACATAGATTTTCCTGATTCTAGTGATATGTGTTACTAAAATCAGTGTTTGGTTGTAGAAAGGTCTGAAATTTACCTTTGTAGATTAGCACAGACAACAATCAAATATATAACTATTCTTGGTGGATATTTGTCTGATATATATTAGTGTCATCAGAGGGTAGATATATTGAACATGATTGGTGGGTCTTTGAAACACTGTACATATCACAGTTGCATTTCAGTAGGAATTAGTGGTACATATAATTCCTGCTTGCATATATTTTGCTTATAAATTGCACTGAAATCCTGCTGAATCACTTATCATTCTTTTAAACAATATACCACTTATTAACCAGAGTCAGTCTCAGTGTATTCCATCTTTGTATCTCAGAGTATCATTTTAGAAATATCCATGACTTGATTTTTTTAAGAAAAGTGAAAATGCAAATACTTTCATTAACATTGTGTTTTGTTGCATTAATCAACAACTACCCCTGGACATGTGAAGGAGCGGGATGAGCTCCAAACACTGTCAATGCTGGCTGCAGCAGTGTCCGGAGTTTATCTCCAGGACAAGCGACATGTCTGATGTAACATCGTAACCATGTTGACAGTTTGTTTTATTGTATATTCACATCCTAAAGTACCCATATATTCAAAACAATAGTCTCATCATCCCCGTATGATGGTGCAGGGTAATGACTTTGAGGATGAGGTCAAGAACTTTTCTCTTGTGGTCTTTACAGCATCTTGTTTTATTTTTATCAGTCTGTCAAGATTTTCGGAGAACAGAAGTTAGGTCTTATCTTACCTAAACTGTCCTGCCATGCTTGCTAATTAACTTCAATATATTTTCCTCCTACTGAGAGACGATACCTTCAGTACCAGCAATATTTTGTAATGATTTTTTTTTTTTTTTTTTCATTGAATTTAAGATAGCAGGTTACTGAAAATGGTGGACATTTGTAAGTTGAGGATGAAACATCAGATGTTGATTTATGGATTCCACAAAAATTATCTTGTGCAACTGTGACGTACCACCTGAGGCTAGATTTGTAACAGTAAGAGAAAAATGTTGTTTTATGTTTTTTATGAATTATATATTCTAATAATTTTTTAATTTTTTCTGAAACTTTTTTCAAACAATTGAAAGAAATCTTAACAATGGCTTCATTATTATTTTTTGCTATATAAGAAGTGATGAATACTAAGAAATTATTTACAACTTGTCATGATATGTCGGATAGACAAGAAAAAGTTTTTTGTGCAAGTTTGATTGAGTAAGACACAAAAGTGAATGTCTGGGAGGTACTGTATATTGTTAGAAATACAGTTAATGATTTGAAAGCACAGTAATTGTAGCACTATTAGTTGACTTGACATTAATACCTATTCAAATCCATTGTTCTTCATACACTTTTGATTTATGAATTAGTATTTCAATTCAGTTTGTTCTGAATCACTTCTGTTCACATTGCAATGCCTCGAAAAGTTTGCTTCTTATCTTGAAAATAACATTTACCAGAGTATGTCCTCATGGTTCACTGACCTGCATTAAAAAAAAATTAAAAATTAAAACATTCCATTTTCTATTTAACCATTTGTTGATATGTATGTCATGAACAACAACACAGCTAGTTGTACCAATCATCTAGTTAGAGTATGGTGCTTGGACAGCAGGTGTCACAATATTACTACCTAGTACTTGTGGCATACAAATGTTCTGAGCAAACTATGGACAAATTTACAGATAGTATCTGATATTGAAATGTTCCTGTTGATATCATGTAAAGCCACTCATGTTGCTGCCTGGCATTAGACTTGACAATTATCAAAGAATTGGGTTTTTCCAAATGGCAGTTGTGGTCACTTCAGTGTGTAAAACCTTTATGTTCTTGAGACCGAGTGATCTCCAGCATATATGTTGTGTATACAATGCGAATATCGCTGTGATGTGTACACTGTACTCTGTAACAACTCTACCGTTGAGCTGTAAGTATTGCTAGATGTTCATCAAGTTGATAACTCTCCTAAGCCTTACATATATGGACTTGACAAATGTAGAGACAGCACACGAAGGTATGGGAGCTTATGTTGCAGATATGTTTGAAAGGATAATAACATTAGCCCAGACAGATGTTTAATGCTTTTACAGAAGGAAACAGTTTGGCCAGACAATTTTTTCTAGTTTGCATCAGTGTTTTAAGCATATACTTTTTTTAAGGTGTTCAGTGACCAAGAAAATAGTATAATGTTATGATCTCAGATTAACGTACCGTATATTGAAAGAAAATATGTTTGAAAGGCCTATATATTTTCCTTTGTCTAAATCAAACCTGTATTTGTTTAGATCCACAATGTTTGTATATTACATATTTTACTTTAGAGAAATCTTGGTACATTCATCTGGTGTGTGTTAGCCTCATCTACTGTTTGGATGATGGAATATCATTGCCAGGACTGAATTGAAATTGAATTCGATAATGATACAGGGAGTCACAGCGTTTTCAGAAAGCTGCCTTTACCTGATATATTTACTCTCCATTAAGGCTTCTTTAAGTATGATTTATAAAGTTATGTGTTAACACATGAGCTGGAAATAACATGGAAATAAGAATACCTCTGAATTACAGGTTTAGAGGGGGGCTTCTGATATTATTTTCTGTATCAGCTTTGTTGGTATAGGCTGTCCCTTATTTTAAAGGGAGATAACTTGCATATATAATTGTAAGCTAATGATAAGTCTCGGATGTCTAGCTGATAGCCTTCAAGCTGAAGCTCCTAACATCTCCAACAATCATCTCCTTCACTTGAGTGTGGTGCATGCTGTACATGAGCAACTATATTATGTGCCACATCCTAGACTTGGTCCTATAATAAATACATATTGTGACACATATTCTCTATGTTGCTCAGGTGTAACTATGATCAGCTGTAGAAAATACTGTTACCTTTGTATAACTGCCCTGCTTCTAGTGGTGTTGTCAAATTCATCTGGTTCTGTTGCAAGTAAGACATTTCAAATTATGTGTGTGGATGTCATATGATATTTTGCATTCGTTAGTGCTTAATTTCCAGCAGTTCATGTCTTTGTGAAGTTGTGGGCAGAATACCTTTCCAAACTGGTTGTCAAACAAGGGAAGATTCAAAACTGGAAAACATCTGAAGTAGCTTGGATCTTTTAGAGCGTGTTTAACTGCCTTTCTTACTTAATCATTTCATTATTGGAATGACTGGATGGAAGAATGTTTTCCCTCCTTTTCAGCAGAACTCGAAAGATTTCATGCAAATTGTCAAAACTAGGGAAACATCAAATAGGCTTCACTTTTCATTCAGAATTAGATTATGATATCCTTCTTCATAAATACAGACTAAATAGATTTCAAAGCAACAACAATGAACTTAAGTATTTAAAGAAAAGAGATTATATCTAGTTTGAGTCAGTTCTGTTTACAGTGTGATTGAAAAGCTTGGTCTTTTCAGTTATGAAATTGCATGTGTCTAGAAATTTCTCAAACAATATTTCTGACTGAGGTAAATTTAATCTTGGATTTCATGGCAAACTGGCATAATTGAAAATGTATTCAAGCTCAAACCATCAAAATATGTTAGTGCATGAGATACATTTTATCGTACAATGTTCAGTTGATAAGAAATATGACAGATTTTCAAGAGAATTGCTTGGTTGTAATTTTGTGATATTGATGGCTTTATAACATAATATTATCATGATCTAACTGATCTCAAATTCGTAACTAATGATTATTATATGTATCAGCAATTTTAACAAGTGACGATGGAGTTATAAAGATACCTACTTGTCAGGTGAGTAGTCACAAAGGAGTTTATTATCCAGTGTTATCTAACCTGTTGATTTGTTACAATAATTATCTTTAATCTTCAGATATATGGGGATATGTATGTGGTAGTTGCTGCAGTCAGGTATTTAGGTGGTATGTTCTACAGATAATAATAGTTCCTGAAATATAACCAAAAAAATTTAATATGAAGATGGTTTGTAGAAACAAATGAACAATGTTTTGAGTAAGTGAACATATCAGCCAAATACCATGTTTGTCTGTGCTGCTGCTGCTGCTGTTGTAGTGGTTCCCCTGTACATGCTCCAGCTCGTCTGTTTGTGCAAGTGTGGATGAAACACATACCTGTATTTTCTACAGCTTTTGTGAATAAAAATTTGATTTTGATTTTGAATCTCTGCAATTTTTCTTATTCATATCTTGGCAGAAATTTGTGTTGTTCATACCCGAGTTCGGAGTGCATTCATTATCTCTTTAATTGGCAAAAGTCCAATACAGTTTGTTAGAGGCAAAATATTTTTTCAGCCAGTGCCTAAAGAAAACATTTTGTTTTCGGAAAAGATGGGCCAGTGTTTCCTAATCCGGGCGGTGGGGTAGCCTATTTTGTGTTCTCGCCAAAACCTGGGTTTGAATCCCCACATGGGCACAATGTGTGAAGCCCATTTCTGGTGTCCCCCGTCGTGATGTTGCTGGAATATTGCTAAAAGCGGCATAAAACCAAACTCAGTCAGTCAGTCAGTTTCTGCCATCCCAACCCAAAGGCAAGTGTTGAAAAGTCCTGCAAAATTACAAACAGAAGACAGGCAAAATATACACCTGCAATCCGGGATGTTTTTTCAAAGTTGTATGTTTCGCCTAACGAGTGGTGTGCGTGCAAAGCTGCATGTTGTTTTTGTAAGATCATATCTTGACTACAAGAAAACAAAAAAAAATGGACAGTTTCCTTCAATGTTTCAATAACAGATATGGCACAATACACAAATCATCTGTTTTGGCTGAACATGATCCTCTTACAAGTATCGTGCTAGAGCGAGAATCAAACATGATTTATTTGTAACCTGGGAACATTATACAATCAATATCTAGTGTACCCTCTATGTGCTTGGATATCTGCCTGTACCCTATGACGCATACCCCACTGTCAGTTGTATCCGTTGCAGAGAAAACAGTCACCATTCTTGGTGCAAAATTAACTCCAACTCATGCAGAACTGTGTGGCCCAGCATTGCCATCCATTAATACAGGCCTTGAAGCAAGACGATGGAGCACAACTGTATCCAGCACTTCCTGGATATACTGATCACATGTCAAATTCCCACCTATTGTCACCAAGTCAAATTTCACACATCCCCACACCATGATAGAACCTCCACCAAAGGCTGCAAATTCTGTATTTCGCTGCCTCCAAACTCTCAAGCATCGGTAAGGTACATGAACAAAGAATCAGCTGTCATGAGACCAATGTCCTCAGTTAAGCATTGCCAAGGTAAAAACCAAGCCAAACATGCTCATTGGTGATGATCGCTCAGTAGAGGATGTTTTTATCACCTTTCTAGAGTTGTACCTGACTGTCCCTAGGCGATTCTGGACTGTTCTCATAGAGACCTGGCGAAATGGTAACCAGTGGTGCTTTAGAACAGTGCTTGTGGCAAATACTTGTCATTGAGTGAGCCTCAATATTGCCCTGTCTTCTTGATCTGATGTCATGCTTGGTCGTCCAGAACGTGGGTAATGTGTGTGTGTTTCATTCAAGTTTTGGTTTGGTTAATGATGGCTGATTGTATAATGAATGTCTGTCATGGTATCATGACACAAAATCAGATAACAGGTGACCCCAATTTCAGCTTGCACTTAAAATTTAGGAGAGACCTAAATTGAATCTAAATCCCCACAGGTACCAATATATGTTGTTCGGAACTTAGCATCCATTCCAATCAAGGAGTCTGCTTATCATAGTGTACCAATATTGTTTTATAAAAACAATCTTGTTTGGCTCTTTCATGAAAGTCAAGACAGTAGGTGGGAGTAAAAAGTGTTGCAGGGGATTGGAATGAGGAAAAGTCGTCTGCAAGCTAGGCAGATTGTCGTGGCAATGTTTGATGCCATTTATGGTGTTCCAACCTTGAAATTGTTAAAAGTTGCATAAATCTTGGCAGATGTCTGAGGCACATGAACTGAGTTGGCTTCTTCAGTCCTGTCAAGTTCAGCTGATCCTAGAAGCAATCTTACTATGATCCTTAAGATGAAAACAAGATAAAGCAAATTTTACTTCAGTTGTTCATTTTGTCACATGCATGGAGGTATTACCATGAACAAATATCACTGTCAACTTCACAAGACAACAGGGTCCATCTTGAAACACCAGGAACCTTGAAGTCTGTATCTAAACAGATTCAATGTGAAACCAACAAAAAATGTCATATAATTAACTATTGTATTCAATGATTAACAAGGATTTCACATCAATATACATTACAGCAAAGTGAGTTAGTGAGTGTAGTTTTACGCTGCACTCAGCAATAATCCAGCTCTATACAGCAAAGTAATTTCAATGACAGTTCACAACAGTGGCAGAATGAAACAAAATAGCAGTGGTAATAGAAGTCAGTCATAAGACTATTCAGCTAACAGCAACAGTGATCAAGTTTCCAGAAAAAGGCCTAGGCTGGGGTTAAAGAATTATCTTAAAACATCCGCTCAACTTGATATAATGAGATGATGGAGGTACTCCGTACGTGCATGCCTATTTATATGTATGATATAATCCATGAATTACACTGCCATATAGCAACAGCATTCCACATTTCTGCCATACTTTATCAAGTACTAAAACATTGTAACAATAAACCAAGTGTCCATGAGCCTTGAACAGTACATGAGTCTGGCATATTTGATCTAGTACGGTATCATGAGTCCACAGTTCATCGCAGTCCATCAGCTTTGTTCTGTGATCCCACATGACAACACGCATCTCTCATTAAATCAACAATAGATATATAAACAGATAGATTGATAGATTACATATATGGGGTTCTTATACATATAACGTGATGCATGTATAAGTAGAAAAGCAGTTAGCGCTTAGACCCGTGAAGGTCCGGGTTAGAATATTGATCTTCAGTAACCCATGCTTGTCGTAAGAGGCGACTAGCGGGATCGGGTGGTGAGGCTCGCAGACTTGGTTGACACCTGTCAACGGTTCCCAATTGCGCAGATCGATGCTCATGCTGTTGATCACTGGATTATCTGGTCCAGACTCGATTATTTACAGTCCGCCGCCATATAGCTGGAATATTGCTGAGTACGGCATAAAACTAAACTCACTCACTCACTCATTTAGCACTGAGTAAAAGATACGTGTCTTATGTTAATTAAATGGTACACGTTTGTGTGTCTACAATATGTCTATATTTATTAATGGTACGAATTTGTGTTATTACATTACGCCTACATTAATAATTGAGCCATTCGTGACGCCAAGCGTGAATTTCATGCGATCAACTTTTGTCTTAAACCTTTTAGTTGACTGACCTTTATGGACATTAAGATATACAGTTTTAATTTTTTAATTAAAGAATGTTTTATCTGTGTGACATGATAGGAGACAGAAGGGCATCTTGACCTCGTCATCTGATCCATGAGTTCACACTGACACCCAGAGCAGTCCTCAGATGCAAAGATCAGGCATTTCTCAGAAACAAACTTAAGCACTTAAGTTAGTTTTAACTCAAATTTGAGATGCTGAAACTTAAGATCAAAAACTATGAAGCTGAGTTAAAAATTCAGCTGTTTTAGACTTCAAGTTTGAAATTTGAGTAAAAACAAAGTTTGTTTCGAAAATCGCTCAACCAAGTGGCTCAGTGGAGGGAGAGAAGTCCATCAAACCAGTTGTCCTCTAACAGCTCCACTGCAACATTCTCAAGATTCAGTCCTCCAAAGTAAAGACTGGGCAAGATAAGCCCCCACAGCGAGAATCTGTAATGGATCTTAAGGACTACCATTACATAATGTCCTCATCAGCATCTGCTATTGGTTCACCCAAAAGCAGTACTCAGGATCCTGAAAGAACTGAACTCGTTCTGCCAAGAAGTCAGTAAAAGGAGACAAGTAATTCAGTAATTCAGCATTGTGACATCATGGGCACAGTTAACTGTATATTAGTTTTACCTGATGATGGGGCCGGAACAGGCCCCGAAAAGTTATATCAAAGAATAAAAGAAGATGAAATCCAGAAAATTCTTTATGTTCATCAAACAGCATCTTCTAAAATGACAATCAAGCATCTCATTCAGACCAGCAGATTACATCATGGACACATCAGCTTCAGACCAGTCGTCCTCCAACAGCTCCACCATGCTGTCCCCCATCACTTCTCCAGAGTGAAGAACAGGCAAGAAATGCCCCAAAGGGGAGAAGCAGTATTCAATCCCAAGGACTACCACTACATAATGTCCTCATCAGTATCTGATATTGGTTCAACAATATCAACACCCAAAGCAGTACTCGGGATCCTGAAAGAACTGAACTCTCTCCTGCCAAGA